CTTAACCTCGCTCTCGCCTCGTTTGTATTCACAGGCTGTGGAGATCTGGGCTGTCTGCTGTCGCCCTGGGAGTTGGCCTGATACATGTGCACCACGCAGTGATCATTATCCCCTAAATTAGGCTCCACAGAGATCGGGGACATGCCATTGACCCTGTTGCAGGATTGGTGTCGGGGGGAACATCTGAACACGCAGAGGTCCATGCTTATCCTGGGGATTCCTGAGGACTGTGGTGAGGATGAATTTGAGGAGACTCTTCAGGATGCTCTCAGGGACCTGGGCAGGTATAGGGTCATTGGCAGGATGTTCAGGAGGGAAGAGAATGCCCAAGCATTTCTCTTGGAGCTTGCCCAAGATATTGACTATGCTTTGATCCCCAGGGAAATACCCGGAAAGGGAGGGCCCTGGGAAGTGGTTGTAAAACCTCGGAACTCAGATGGGGAATTTCTCAATAGACTGAACCGCTTCTTAGAGGAGGAGAGGCGGACAGTGTCAGATATGAACAGAGTGCTTGGATCGGACACCAACTGCCCTGCTCCAAGAGTGGCCATATCACCTGACTTCTGGACCTGGGCCCAGACCCTGGGGGCAGCAGTGCAGCCTCTGCTAGAACAAATGTTGTACAGAGAACTAAGAGTCTTTTCTGGGAACACTGTGTCCATCCCAGGGGCGTTGGCCTTTGAAGCCTGGCTTGAGCACACCACTGAGGTGCTACAGATGTGGCAGGTGCCTGAGGGTGAAAAGAGGCGGCGGCTGATGGAATGCTTGCGGGGCCCTGCTCTGCAGGTGGTCAGTGGGCTCCGGGCCAACAATGCTGCCATAACTGTGGAGGAGTGCCTGGCAGCCCTGCAACAGGTATTTGGACCTGTGGAAAGTCGTAAAATCGCCCATGTGAAATTTTATAAGGCCTATCAGGAGGTGGGAGAGAAAGTCTCCAGCTTTGTGTTGCGTTTGGAACCCCTGCTCCAAAGAGCTGTAGAAAAAAATGCAGTATTGCGAAGGAATGTGAATCAGGCTCGCCTGAAACAAGTCTTAAGTGGGGCTACCCTTACTGACAAACTTCGAGACAGGCTTAAGTTGATGAAACAGCGAAGGAAACCACCTGGTTTTCTGGCACTGGTGAAGCTCCTGCGTGAGGAGGAGGAGTGGGAGGCCACTTTTGGTCCAGAAAGGGGGAGGCTACAGGGGCTGGATGCAGGAGTAAGGCCATCTGCCAGAGCCAATGCTCTCAGAGCAGTGTCTTTTGCTGCCCCTGGCAGCACTCTTCAGGCCAGGACTTCCCAAGGTTCCCGGCGCAGGAGAGGCAGAGGACAGCATCGAAGGGGGCGTGTGCTAAGGGCCAGCTCCCGAGGTTCAGGAAAACGGAAACATCACACATTCTGCTATAGCTGTGGAGAAGATGGCCACATCAGGGCACAGTGTAGCAACCCTCCAAACCCGCTCTTGGTAAAGCAGAAGAGACAGGCTGCAATGGAGTCGGGAAATGGGAACAGGGCTTGGGAAAAGAGCCATCCCAAGCCCAAAGCCAAGTAGGCTCAGGAGAACAAGGCACCTCTTCATATTTCAGGCAGAGGAAACAAAAGAGATATTGGAAAAAGGGAAAGGGGCAGCCCACAGAAACAGCAGGGGACTTGAGTGGGGTAGAGGGGCAAAGAAGCCATGCCCAGGCTGAGCCCCCTCATCCTCTGCCAGATGAAAAAGACTCCACTCACCAAGCTACATGGGACTCAGTGAAGGCCAACAGTGCACTGAAGAGGTGCCAGAGACACAACTGGGGGGTTGCCCCACCCAGCACATGGGGTGCACCAGCTGCAGGCAAAGACCCCAACACAGCAGAGGCTGAAGAAAGTAGAGCTGGGGACTCATTCATCAGCCCCATCATCTGGCCACCCCCAAATGCCCACCCTGTGGGCTCTGAGCTAAAGATGCCAACTGGCCCGCAGGCCACGTGGGGCCTGGAGGAGCCTTCCCCAGGACCAGCCCTGCCTGAAGGAGTCATCTCAGGCAAAGAAGAGCTGTACAACAGACAGGTAATGCCCCAGACAGGAGGCCACATGGTCCAGCCTGTTTTCAAGATTATCTATCTACACTATTCTAGGGGACCCCCAGGAAGGCAGAGCCCTCAAGCCCCTGCACAAGTGAGGGCAGGAGAACCAAAGGCTCTGGGAGCCTAGCACCAGCCTACAGGCAGTTTCCTTCTGCTGCAGCCTGGAAGGGCTATAGGGGCAAGGAGAGCAAAAACTACAAGGAGAAGATCCTTGAGCCAGAGCTTCAGCTCAGCCTGGCAGGTGGGAGTACTGGTACTTGGTGGGCCAGTACCTCACAGCTGGCTTTGGTGTGAGTGAGTGTGTAGCAGAGAAACTTTGGTTCCAAAGCAGGAGGAGGAGGAAGAGAAAGAGAAGGAAGTGGAAGAGGAGGAGGAGAAAAGGGTGTAGGAGAGAAGGAAGAGAAAGAGGTAAAGAAGGAGGAGGAGAAAAAGGTAGAGGAGAGGAGGAGGAGGGGGTAGGGCTTGGTGGTGGGAGGTTGTTCTGCTTTTGTTTATACAGTACCACTGGAGACCAGGAGCCTGCAGGCAAGGAGGCATGGGACTGGCCTGGTGAACGACAACTCAGCAGCTGGCAATGCCAAGGCCAGCACCAAACCCTGCCAATTCAGGCAGTCAGCCTGGGAAGCACTCCTGAGTGGCTGGCCCTAGCCTAGGTGAGGGGCACCTGAAAATGTGTGCCACCCACACTGGCCTGGGAGATGTTAGGAGCCGTCTCAAGGGTGCCGGCCCCTCGGGCCGCCCAAGAGGGGGACCCTCATTCACTGACCCCTGGAGCACGTCACTCCATGCTCTGGGAAGCCCACTTGTGTCTCTGTAGGCCCCTTAGTGACCCCCATGTCAAGTTTCACCCCCCAGCTCCCCCTACACACACACTAGTTACCATTCCCGTGCAGAGCCCTGAGGTGTGCAGGAGCCTGCGGCGGGTGTCCTGGCCTAACGCAGCAGCCACCTCTCAGCCCCGGGTGTGTGCCACGAGCTTCAGTGCGAGCCCAGGCTCTGCTCGCTCTCGTCCGGTGTCGTGAGCTCAACCTCTGCTTCCTCGGTGTAGATTTAGGCCAACTGCTGCTTGTTC